ATGAATGAGGCAATTGGGGCCCTATATATACCCTTTAAAGGATGATACAGGGTACCTCATTCCCTCATCACTACCAAGAACCGGCCAGAAGATTCCAGAAGCACTGCCTTAAGTTCAAGAAACGAAACGGTTTTTAGGGTTTCGGGTTTTCGGCTTGGAGGGTTGGGGCTCGAACTTACACCCTGTCAGCCCCAAATCCAAAGTCCCAAGTCCACAGGGGGATCCCAAGATTCCTTATACCCTCGATTCTGGAGTATTCCCTATCTACTTCATGTTCGGATCACTGTGGTTGAGCTTCTTTACTAACCCTTCTACCCGATAACCAATAAACCCTAAACCTTAAACCCCAACCCCTATACCCTAAACATCCCTAGACCTTAAACCCCAAGCCCTAAACCCGAACCTCCGACAAGAGAGGTGGTCTTTTCCTCGGAGCGGCTTTGCGGTTGGGGGGGCGGCCACATCTGCTCTGAGGAGGTTGGGATCATCCGGGGTTCAGGGCTCAGGGTTTAGGGCTCAGAGTTTGCTGAACAACCAGTTGCCAAGCGTATCCCCTCGTAATCCCTACATGGGTCCGTTGATTATATGAGGGGGGCAGGTAGGGCTGGGGGGGCGCTTGTTGGGCCCGAGGGGTCCAGTCGAGGTGGTTGAGGGCTTCGGGTTTAGGGTTTGGGCTTTGGGGATGCTTTGGGGTTTAGGGGTTAGGGTTTCCGGTTTGGGGTTTAGGGGTTAGGGTTTGGGGTTTAGGTTTGGGGCTATCCGTGGTTCAATGCCATCTCGCGAACCCTGCAGGACGATGCACGGTATCCACAGGCTCCGACTGACTCGAAGTACCTCAATGCTGGAGGCTCGCGCTTGAGACCCGAACCTACAACCTTTCAACCCAAAAGCCCAAAAACTTCGCAACCCTAATCACAGCTCTGCCCTACAACCTAGAACCCTTCAAGCCCTTGAAACCCCTAAACCCCTAAACCCCGAAACCCTTAAACCCCTAAACCCCTAAACCCCTAAACCCCTAAACCCTAAACCCTAAACCCTAAACCCTAAACCCTAAACCCTAAACCCTAAACCCCTAAACCCTAAACCCTAAACCAGGCTACATCGGCCCTGCTGCATCCTTGGTGCGGATCATCAAGTGGGTCCTCGACCTTGCGGCCGAAGTGAAGAGTGGTTCGCTGCCGGAGCTTCGACGGAAGACCACGGCCGAGGAGAGGGTTCAGGGTTTAGGGTTCGGGGTTTAGGGTTTGGGTTTAGGGTTTAGGGTTTAGGGTTTGGGGTTTAGGGTTTAAGGTCAGGGTTTGGAGCTTCGGTTGTTCTAGGCCATCGGATGAAAGTCCATCAAAAGCGGAATTCCTTCATCCACAAACTCCTAGGCATCTTGAACAACAACCACATGGGGACGCTCTTGTGAAGGTTCATCAGTAGGGCTGATACGAGCCCCAAAGTAAGCTTAGGCTCAGTAGAGTTGCGCGACCGAAAACCTCGGCTTCTCACCAGCTGTGAACCTCCAGGCTTACCCTCATCCCCTAAACCCTAACCCCTAAACCCGAAACCCGAAACCCTATACCCCCCATTCCATTTCTTTTCTTTGCATTAGGATGCCACGGCGGGTGAGACGGACCAGCTCTTCTTTAAGATGTACTTCTGGGAGCACAAGGAGCAGGGGTCCCAGGTACTGGGCAGGCGTAGGGTGTGGGGTGTAGGGTTTAGGTTTAGGGCCTAGGGCTTAGGGTTTAGCGGGTCTGCCCACCGTAATAAGTCATTTAAGGTCTGTGACCTTGGACTACCATCAGTCCATCTTTGGCAATTTTGTCGAAGTGGAGAATGTAGCTTGTCGCGACGGCTGGCGTCCGCGCTGCGCCAACCAGCCGTGCTGTACAGCTCCTGGGCAACATGTTGAGCCACGGTGCGAGTCTTTCACCTGAAGCCCTAAACCCGAAACACTGCTTGAAGGTTCAGAAAAATGTGCAAGTGGGGGTTATCAGTAGATTCAGTTTGCTTATAAAACCATCGTTGCCCTACTTATAACCCTACCCTTTCTTCCGTACCCATGAACCCTCCAAGTAAGCCCCGAAATATGCTTCAAAGGAATTGGGCTCTTGGCCTGCTCCCCTTGAGGTCAGTGACAGTTTCAAGCGCTTCCACGACGTTTTCTATGGGAACTATGCAATTCAGGGATGCTCGCTGTGGCGGGGGAAGAACCTCCCGATCACCTGGCACGGTTGCTCAGCTCAACAGCAGTTCATTTTCCAGGGAGGGCTCGTAGTCCCCAATTGATTGGTTCTTTTGTTTCCCTGAAGCTCAAGGGACGACCACACGCCCGGTTCATGTGAGAATGGGTACATAGAGCATCAGGCTCTACACAGGTTAAGCTCCCGGGGTCTATAAACGGGTAGGCCCTTGCTTTGTGGTGCTTTACTGTAACTTTAGATCCTTAGCCTTCTTGGGTTTATTGGGTTTCCTAGCAAGGTTGCTAAAAATTTAAATTTAAGCTACCCTCCTGAGTGCAGCCAAGCTTGGGTCAGTGTACATTTTCCCTCTTGGGGTTTAAGAGGATTTTGTTAACTTGGTAGCCGGTGGTACCCTTTACCCTTCTTTTTAAGGTTCTGGTTTCCCTTTTAAAATAACCCACCCAAAAAGGGGTGCCCTTATTATAAGATGGTGACTGGGCCACCAAGTTAAGGAATATTGTTCACCCCTAAACCCTAAACCCTAAACCCTAAACCCTAAACCCTAAACCCTAAACCCTAAACCCTAAACCCTAAACCCTAAACCCTAAACCCTAAACCCTAAACCCTAAACCCTAAACCCTAAACCCTAAACCCTAAACCCTAAACCCTAAAAACCCTAACCCCTAAACCCTAAACCCTAAACCCTAAACCCTAAACCCTAAACCCTAAACCCTAAACCCTAAACCCTAAACCCAAAACCCTAAAAACCTAAACCCTAACCCAAACCCTAAACCCTAAACCCTAAACCCCTAAACCCCTAAACCCCTAAACCCCTAAACCCCTAAACCCCTAAACCCCTAAACCCCTAAACCCCTAAACCCCTAAACCTAAACCCCTAAACCTAAACCCCTAAAGCCCTGAACCCTAAACCCTAAACCCTATACCCTAAACCCTAAAGGGCACCCTAGGCAACTCTGTAGAGTTCGGCAGAGATTTTCCCGGAGGGCGGGCCGACTTGAAGCCCTATCAGAAACCGTAAGCCATAAACCCTCAACCCTCAGCCCTCAGCCCTCAACCCTAAACCCTAAACCCTGAACCCTGAACCCTGAACCCCGCTCGGGTTTAGGGCTTAATCCCACCCATGGTACTTGAAGGTTCAAGGCGTACCAATAAGTAGGGTTCCAAATGCTCAAGGTAAAAACCATGGTTACCCTAAACCCTAAACCCTGCTTCTAACCTTACAATGAGTACCCATGAAGGGGAGATGCTGAGAGGGACATGGGAGGCAGGCCGTGCAGCAAGTGCTGGTCAGTTCTCACTCACCCATTCACCCACTCACCCACTCACCCACTCACTCCAAGCACCCAGTGGCTCACTCCAAGCACCCTTGGGTTTAGGGTTTAGGGTTTAGGGTTTAGGGTTTAGGGTTTAGGGTTTAGGGTTTAGGGTTAGGGTTTAGGGTGTAGGGTTAATCCTGAGATCCCCCAAGGAGCATGTAGGGGCCCTCTTTGAAGTATGCGCTACGTCGGCTCGGCTTCGTTGCTCCGCGCCTCCGCTCGCGGGGTTTTCGGGTGTAGAGGTGTAGGGGTTCTAGGGGCTTTGGGTTGGTCTAGGGGTTTCTTAGGGGTTTCCGGGTTTAGGGGTTTAGGGTTTTAGGGTTTTAGGGTATAGGGTTTAGGGTCGGTGGCGCAGCCCGACTTCGGCGGACATCGATATTCGTGCGCGAATCCCGCCTGAGCTCGTATGTTGGACCCCTCCAACGCTTCAGCGCTCAACGCGAAGCACTTTAGGGGTACAACCTTAGGGGTACGAGTTGGTTGAAGATGGGCTAGGTAAAGGTTGGGCCTTGAATCACTTAAACGATAAGCATGATGTCCCGAGTATTTGTATTAGTACGTATGCATAAGAATGGTAACGATGCAACTTGTAAGAGCATATAAGAGCATATATATGTATATATATATATACACAGTAGACATATGTATACATACACTCACTACGTACTGGAGAGTCAAGAAGGGTCCATAAGCCTTCATCCACCACCCCATTTCTTCTCAGCTCAGGAAACGGCGCTGGCAAGTGGTTATGGCTGCTCTCGCTGGAAGAGCTCTCTAGAAGTTGTCCATTCTTGGCAAATCTGACTGTTCATAGGTCGCCTGGCCTGCATGCATTGGTGCCCTGTACGGTCGAAGTCCACGTTGGCTAGTCGCTTGTCACTGTGGGTGCGTGCGTTCGCGTGCCGTGCCTGCGACTCAAGGTATCCAGTGCAGCCAATCCTCGACCTCTTCGACCAGTTCGACGAAACCCGAGCACAGAGACAGAACGCGATGCGCTGAAACGGTGTTCTCCGATCTGCGTCAGTACCCCTGAACCCGAAGCCCTAAACCCGAAGCCCTGAAAGTCATCGCAACGCTCGCGCATCCTGATCTCCCGTTGAAGCCCCCCCAAGACCCAAGGTATTTAACAACCACCCCCAGAGGCCTCATCTAAGAGCAACACAGGGTTTTGGGTGCAGGGTTCTAAAGCCTCAACCTTGACTCCCAACCCTAAAATCCCCTGGCTCTCCTCTTGTCTTCGGTTCCTCCTCGGTTTCGGTTTTTGTTCTTAGGGCTTACCGCATCTTCCTCGGCCAAAAAGAGAACGCCGCCTTGATCAGCCGCTCCCCCCCACCTTTGTCCTCACATGCGAGTGCCCTTCCCATATGCCCCAAGTTCTAAACCCTAAACCGAGACCCAAACCCTAAACCCTAAACCCCCAACCCCAAACCCTAAACCCCAAACCCTACACCCCAAACCCGAAACCCTAAACCCCAAACCCTAAACCCGACAGGACCAGTGGGAGATCATGAAGCCATAGCCTTACTCACGCCGAAGTTGTCCAAGCGTGGCGCTTTTGTGGGATTGAGGTTCAGGGTTTAGGGTTGAAGGTTTAGGGGCTTGTGGTTTAGGGTTTAGGGGTTTGGGTTTAGGGTTTAGGGTTTAGGGTGTAGGGTTTGGAGTTTGGGGTTTAGGGTTTTTAGGGCGTTCTTAAGGTTTCCACGTGAAGGGTCCTCAACGCTCTTCACTGCCCTCAAGCCCTCAATACGCCCTTTATGGTTTGGGAGAGGCTCTGGGCTCCAAAAGCTTAGAACCCTAAACTCGTAAACCGTAAGCCCTAAACCCCAAACCCCAAACCCTAAACCCTAAATCCTAAACCCTAAACCCTCAACCCTGAACGCCCTAAAGGCACTGAACAACTTCACCTCTCTTCCCTTTGAGGCTGACGGGCTCCTCTGCGTCCAGCTCCTCCGCCGCCCCGGTGAAGCTGCTCCTATCAGCATGTCAGAGTGTCAGGGTTGAGGGCTTAGGGTTTAGGGTAGGGTTGGGTTGAGGGTTGAGGGTTGAGGGTTGAGGGTTGAGGGTTGAGGGTTGAGGGTTGAGGGTTGAGGGTTGAGGGTTGAGGGTTGAGGGTTGAGGGTTGAGGGTTGAGGGTAGGGTTTAGGGTTTAGGGTTTAGGGTTTAGGGTTAAGGGTTAAGGATTTAGGTGCAGCGTTGGGGCTTTGGCAACCTTCGGCGCATGGCGAAGGCCCATGCGAAGCTTAGCTGGTCCTACGGAAGACGTATGTATGCCCATTGAAACGTGTGTTGAACTACAGCTATGTAAGCCCGTGCGCTTGTAAGTTTGCCACGCCCCAGAAGAGCTTGACGCACACACTTCTGCATCAAGGCAAAAGTCAGCCTTTCGGGCCCGGGTTTTGGGCTTAGAGTCTTCGAGTTAAGCGGAAGCAGTGGTTCACAGGATTTTGGAAGTTCTGAAAGGGCCATCACTGGTCATAGCCCTAAAGTCCGTGTTGTATATCAAGCCCCGTAGACCATCCGGTAGAGACTGACGCTCAGCCCGATCCCCCGCCACCCCTCTCACCTCTGTGACCTTGCCGAGCACACCCGAAACCCGAAAACCCTACACCCAAACCCTAGACCCTCAACCCTAGACCCTAAACCCTAAACCCGAAACCCGAAACCCTAGACCCTAGACCCTGAACCCTAAACCCTAGACCCTAGACCCTAGACCCTAGACCCTTGACCCTAAACCCTAAACCCTAAACCCTAAACCCTAAGCCCTAAGCCCTAAACCCTAAACCTAAACCCTAAACCCTAAACCCTAGCCTTAAACCCTAAACCCTAAATTCTATACTCTAAGCTCCAATCCACTTAGGCTCCGCCCTCCCTGGAGCAGCTCTTTCGCAGCAGCTGCTGGTGCCGAGCCCGAAGAAAGAGAAGTTTTCTACCTTAGGGTTTAGAGTTTAGGGTTTCGGGTTTAGGGTTTCGGGTTTAGGGTTTAGGGCTTCGGGTTTAGGGTTCGGGGTTTAGGGTAGTTGAACCCTAAACCCCAGAGTTCAAGCCCAACCCATTTTTCTGGTCTCGGAGCTGGGGTCGCGACTTCACGGGTGTAGGAATGTCGGGCGTAGGGTTTACCTTCTCCTTTCAGTACCAAACCCAAAAATGCCAACAGGTTTCAGTGAGGTTGGGGATTTCGCGGCTATTTCCAGCCCGAAACCCTAAACCAGAAACCCTAAACGGATTGACGTTCGATCCTTTCTCCCGAACCGGCAACTGGGTTGCAGTTCCGGAGGGTTAAATGCTTTAGGGTTCAAGGGTCCTAGGGTTCAGGGTTCAGGGCTGTTTAGTTTTAGGGTTTCAAAGTTCAAGGTTTAGGGGTTCAGGGTTGGCTTTGGTTCTGTGCTTGGGAGTTTCTGGGCTGAGACTTGGGGCGAAACGTCTTGGGTGCCAGGCCGCTGAGAGGCTCCAATACTCGCAGGTGGGCACTTCCTGAAACGAACAGTAGGATTCCGAAACATAACTCAGTGACCATTCCCTATAGCTAACCCTAAACCCTAAACCCTAAACCCTAGACCCTAGACCCTAAACCCCACTCTCTGAACCCCAACCCTAAGTGGTTTGGCGCCACGAGTCGCCACACCAAAAAGCTGAGCCTCTCGCAGCTCAGGGGCCATTGCGGTCGCGGACCACCCCGTGTACGAGGAGGCTGACCTAGGGATTCGGTTTCGGGTTTAGGGTTTAGGGTGTTTAGGGTTGAGGGCTCAGGGTTCAGGGTTTAGGTTTAGGGTTTAGGGTCCAGGGTTTAGGATGCAAGGTTTGTTTGGAGGTCGGAGTTCGGTTGAGGTCCATCTTCCCACCCACAGCTTCACGGGCCGCCGCCGAGAGTATTTCCAGGTAGGTTCAGAACCCCTGCGCCTCTTGGGGGGCTTGTGGGGGGGGGTTAAGGTTTAGGGTTTAGGGTTTGGGGTTTAGGGATTTAGGGTTTAGGGTTTAGGGTTTAGGGTTTAGGGTTTAGGGCTTAGGCCTTTGGGAATCTGGAAGTTGCGGTTCAAGTCTCGGGTCCCTTGAAGGGCTTGGACCTTTGCTCAAGGACTCCGGTCCGACCGAAGCAGTAATTTACATCCCCCTACATATGCGCTTTCAGGGATTCTCTAGGGTACCCGGCTCCCTCATTCCCTACTAAGATCCAGTAGGATATGTGTAACTTCAGGCCCCCCGAAGGCCTACACTACGCCCCCAACAGCTGATTGCGAGCAGGAGGAGCATTTTGGGGGTTTAGCATTTTGGGGGTTCTCCTCAAAAAGCTGGCAGCTCCACTTCGTAAACCCCACACCCACACCCTAAGCCCTGAGTGCTTGGGCGATGTAGGGCTTTCTTCGGGATGAATGCCGAAGCCTAGAATGCTCGCCAAGAGTATCCCTTCACAATCCCGAGAGGATTCGCAGATGCCACTACCCAAATGTCCTTGACATTGTGTAGCATGCCGAAGTAACGTATTGCTCATGTGAGTGTACAAATCGACTTCGAACCGCAATACCCAAAATACCATTTCTAGCCAATGACCGGAAACCCTCTGGAACCCCAAGGCACTAAACCCCTAAACCCCTAAACCCCAGATCCTAAACAGCAAAAGCCCCGAAACCCTAAGCACATAACCCGTAAACCCCTAAAATCTTAAACCCCGAACCTTAAACAATAAATAATGACAACCCAAACCTCCGGAGTTGGCTGCAGGCACCGACCCTTACAACCCTCAAACCCCTATAAACCCTAAAACGTTGCCGTAAAAAGCCCTAACCCTAAACCCTAGACCCTAGACCCTAGACCCTAAACCCTAAACCCTAAACCCTAAACCCTAAACCCTAAACCCTAAGCCCTAAACCCTGGAAACCTGTGAAGCCCCGGAGTTGGGTGCAGGTACCGCAGGAAATGCAGGTGGGGGGCTTCAGCTTTGCTGACCGCAAGGTGCTCGGGAAATCCTTTTGGGGCTTAGGGTTTAGGGTTTAGGGTTTGGGGTTTAGGGTTTAGGGTTTGGGGTTTAGGGTTTAGGGGCTTTGGGGCTTTGGGGATTTTGGGGTTTACTTAGTCGCTGAATGAGTGCATACTCGAATCCCCCATAGAACTGAATGTGTGCACGTTTTTGGGGGCTTATGAACTCAGCAACGAAGCTTAGGGTTTAGGGCTTGAGGGCTGAGGGGTTGGTGGCTTGGGGCGTTGGGGGGTTTGAATGTTGAGGTCTGGGAAGTGCAGGGTTTCGGGGTTTCGGGTTTAGGGTTTGGGGTTTAGGGTTTAGGGTTAGGGTTTGGGGTTTAGGGTTTAGGGTTTAGGGTTGGGGGAAAAAAGCTGCAGGGCTTTTGCGCCACCAAGCCGGCAGGCGAAACCCCACCCTGAGATTTCATTCCCGGGGATGCCCTGAACCTTAGGCCCTAAGCCCTAAGCCCTAAACCCCTAAACCCCTAAACCCCTAAACCCCTAAACCCCTAAACCCCTAAACCCCTAAACCTCTAAACCCCTAAACCCCTAAACCCCTAGACCCCTAAACCCCTAAACCCCTAAACCCCTAAACCCCTAAACCCTTAAACCCCTAAACCCTAAACCCTAAACCCCAAACCCCAAACCCTAAACCCTACTTCCAGAGAATGCCGTCTTGCGAGAGGTGCTGGGGAACCACTGCCTCAGCGTCCATGGCCGCAGCCACTGCCGATACTATGGCCTGGAGGCAGCCGGGATGAGCTTAGAATTTGGGGTCTGGGGTTATAGAAGCTCGATCTCTTTCTCCTTTCTTTTTCTTTCCTCCTCTTTCCTCCTCTGTCCTCCTCTGTCCTCCTCTGTCCTCCTCTTTCCTCCTCTTTCCTCCTCTTTCCTCCTCTTTCCTCCTCTTTCCTCCTCTTTCCTCCTCTTTCCTCCTCTTCCCTCCTCTTTCCTCCTCTTCCCTCCTCTTTCCTCCTCTTCCCTCCTCTTTCCTCCTCTTTCCTCCTCTTTCCTCCTCTTTCCTCATCTTTCCTCATCTTTCCTCATCTTTCCTCATCTTTCCTCATCTTTCCTCATCTTTCCTCTTTCCTCTTTCCTCTTTCCTCTTTCCTCTTTCCTCTTTCCTCTTTCCTCTTTCCTCTTTCCTCTTTCCTCTTTCCTCTTTCCTCTTTCCTCTTTATTTCCTCTTTCTTCTCTTTCTTCTCTTTCCCCCTCTTTCCTCCTCTTTCCTCTTCTTTCCTCTTCTTTCCTCTTCTTTCCTCTTCTTTCCTCTTCTTTCCTCTTCTTTCCTCTTCTTTCCTCTTCTTTCCTCTTCTTTCCTCTTTTTTCCACTGCTTTCCTCTTCTTTCATGTGTTTTTTTTTATTCTTTCCTCTTCTTTCCTCTTCTTTCCTCTTCTTTCCTCTTCTTTCCTCTTCTTTCCTCTTCTTTCCTCTTCTTTCCTCTTCTTTCCTCTTCTTTCCTCTTCTTTCCTCTTCTTTCCTCTTCATTCCTCTTCTTTCCTCTTCTTTCCTCTTCTTTCCTCTTCTTTCCTCTTTTTTCCTAGTTTTTGATCTTTTTTCCTATTTTTCATCTTTTTTCATCTTTCCTCCTCTTTTTTCATCTTTCCTCATCTTTCCTCCTCTTTCCTCCTCTTTCCTCTTCTTTCCTCTTTTTTCCTCGTCTTTCCTCTTCTTTCCTCTTCTTTCCTCTTCTTTCCTCTTCTTTCCTCTTTTTTCCTCGTTTTTAATCTTTTTTCATCTTTTCTCTTCTTTCCTCCTCTATCCTCCTCTTTTTTCTTCTTTCCTCCTCTTTCCTCCTCTTTCCTCCTCTTTCCTCCTCTTTCCTCCTCTTTCCTCCTCTTTCCTCCTCTTTCCTCCTCTTTCCTCCTCTTTCCTCGTCTTTCCTCCTCTTTCCTCCTCTTTCCTCCTCTTTCCTCCTCTTTCCTCCTCTTTCCTCCTCTTTCCTCCTCTTTCCTCTTTTTTGCTCTTTTTTCTTCTTCTTTCCGCTTATTTCCTCTTCTTTCCTCTTCTTTCCTCTTCTTTCCTCTTCTTTCCTCTTCTTTCCTCCTCTTTCCTCCTCTTTCCTCCTCTTTCCTCCTCTTTCCTCCTCTTGCCTCCTCTTTCATCCTCTTTCCTCCTCTTTCCTCCTCTTTCCTCCTCTTTCCTCCTCTTTCCTCCTCTTTCCTCCTCTTTCCTCCTCTTTCCTCCTCTTTCCTCTTTCCTCTTTCCTCTCTTTCCTGTACATACACATGTACATATCACATATACATATACCTTGTGAACGTTTTTTGGGTTTTTCAACCCCCGAGGGTCCCCAAACCCGCTTCTCAGGTCTGTGCTGCTGTCCTGTGCCTACCTCAGGAGGATTGCGATTTGGGCATACAAGCCCTAAACCCTAAACCTAAACCTTAAACCTTAAACCCTAAACCCTAAACCCTAAACCCTAAACCCCAATCCCAAAACCCCAAACCCCCGGGGCCGTAAATGTCCCAAGCCCCCTGACTGACGCTGTTGCAGTTGAGAGCTTCCCACCTCAGGTATCTTCCTGAGGGCACGGATCAGGTCCTGGCAGGCGCGCGCGCCCTAAACCCTAAACCCTCAACCCTAAACCCTAAACCCTAAACCCTAAACCCTAAACCCTAAACCCTCAACCCTCAACCCTCAACCCTCAACCCTCAACCCTCAACCCTAAACCCTATACCCCTAACCCTAAACCCTAAACCTCAAACCCCCCCATGTCCAGGCGGAGACGTCATGGACTCCACAGTTCCGAAGACTCTGGAGACCCTGCTCTGCCACCTGGGGGGGGATGGGGGGGGGGGGGGGGGGGGGGGGGGGGGTGCTTTTGTTCCTAAACCCTAAACCCTAAACCCTAAACCCTAAACCCTAAACCCTAAACCCTAAACCCTAAACCCTAAACCCTCAACCCTTTAGGGTTTAGGGTTAGGGACATACAAAGACTTTGAGGCAAATACTGCTCAGGTTTCAGGAAGCTATCCGGGTTTCAAGGTTTAGAGGTTCCTCTAGGTAGGGTTCGGGTTGAGCAGCACTGCGCGCTAAACGCCAAGCCTAGCCCCAGCTGGGCCAACGAGTCAGCAGGAGCTGCGGTATTCCTAAACCCTAAACCCTAAACCCTAAACCCTAAACCCTAAACCCTAAACTCTAAACCCTAAACCCTAAACCCTAAACCCTAAACCCTAAACCCTAAACCCGAAACCCGAAACCCGAAACCCTAAACCCTAAACCCTAAACCCTAAACCCTAAACCCTAAACCCTAAACCCAGCAGGAGCTGCGGTATTGCAGAAATTTTCCTGGAGACCAATTTCGTTTTGTGACCCGCCCGGACCTGAGCAGCTTGAAGCAGCTGGCCTTCAAAAAAGCTGGGTTCAAGGGAGCCTATGAGTAGCGGTTTAGGGTTTAGGGTTTAGGGTTTAGGGTTTAGGGTTTAGGGTTGTAGGGTTACAAGTACCCGAAATAAGGTCAGCAACCATATCTACCCTACGTCTAAACCTGCTTGTCAGTACCCATGAACCTCCAAGCAGCCAAAACATGCCAAGTGCAGCCCACTCGGACGTTCATGGTATTTAGTAACCCAGCTATGACTGTACTAAGGGGCTTAAGCCCCTAAACCCCAAGCCCTAAACCCTAAACCCTCAACCCTAAACCCTAAACCCTAAACCCCTAACCCCTAAACCCTAAACCCTAAACCCTAAACCCTATTGGGTTATAAGTTCCCTGACTTAGAAGCAGCCCTAGGTTGGGCGCTGTCCAGAAATGGCTACCTGCCTGACGAGGCTGTTGAGGTGCCGGCAGTGTTTAGGGTTTAGGGTTTAGGGTTTAGGGTCTAGGGTCTAGGGTTTAGCGCTTGAGGTGCCTCTTTTGGTGACTTCTGTCCGCAGTCCAAACCCTGCACCTCTTGGAATGAGCTCTTGAGCCCTAAGCCCGAAACTTGTAAACCCCCATGAACCCAACCCATGAATCTGACAAGCCCCACACCCCGACATGGTTTAGGGTTTAGGGTTTAGGGTTTAGGGTGTAGGGTTTAGGGTTTAGGGTTTAGGGTTTCGGTTTCAGGGTTTAGGGTTTAGGGTTTACAAGTCCTAGCAGGACCTACGAGACCTTAAGCTCCAAACCTTAACAGCCTTAACATCCTGACACCCTAATCCCAAACTCTAAACCCTAAACCCTAAACCCTAAACCCTAAACCCCAAACCCTAAACCCTAAACCCGAAACCCTAAGCCCTAAACCCCACGCCTTAACCCCTAAACACATCCTTTGCAAATCGCCAGGTCGGCCTCAAACTCTTCAACCCCTTGTACAGAGACGTCAAGCGTGGGGACGGGTGGTTGCGCTGTTTAGCGACTCCAAGAGACCCCTTGGATTTTAGGGTTTAGGGGTTTAGGGGTTTAGGGGTTTAGGGGTTTAGGGGTTTAGGGGTTAGGGCGTAGGGCTTAGGGTTTAGGGGTCGACGGGTTAGGGTTTAGGGTGAATATAGGGTTGAGAGGTTCAGGGTTTAGGGTTTGGAACTTAGGGTTTATTCCGAAGATGCCAATAGTAAGATGATTTTCGGACATCCCTAAAGGAGTATTCCTTAGTTAACGGTTCTCGTGTTTCGCTATTAAGGGGGTCCTGCTATATCGGGGGTCCATTTCGTGGGGGTCCCCTATTTTCGTATTGCAGTGGTGGGGTTAAGGGTTTAGGTTTAGGGGTTAGGGTTTATCCCCAACCCCTTACCCCCTAATAGTAGAAGCCCCCCATCTTCTGTAGTATATCTCTCATGGGCGTGTTTATCATTCGGGGCTCGGGCGGGGTGTACTTTTCATTTAGGGGGAGGGGATTACTTCGTAACCCCTGAGCCCTAACAGACCTGAAGCCCATACGCCCTCCGGCCGCCACCCCTCGTCCCGCCATGAGACCCCAAACCCCAAAAGTTTCAATCCTAAACCCTAAACCCTGAAGCCCTAAAACCCTAAACCCTTCAGCCCTAAACCCTACTAGGCCCTAGATATCGGCACCGCCCCCCTCCAGGATTGCTACACGCTCAGCTACGATCCGCGTACCCCTGCAGGAGCTCGCCTCAGCCCTTGTTTCGAGTTAGGGTTCAGGATTGGGGTTTAGGGTTTAGTGTCCAGGGTTTAGGGCCCAGGGTTTAGGGTTTAGGGTTCGGGGTTTAGGGTCTAGGGTTTCAAGTTGCTGGGCCTCAAGATTTAGGGGTTCGAAGTGCTTCTAGTTCTTTTCATGGGCTTTGGGTCAGTAAACCTTAAACCCTAAGCCCTAAACCCTAAACCCTGAACCCTAAACCCCAAAATTCCTAAACCCTAAACAAGGGCCTTAAGCGTTTCAAGGGCTTTAGGGATTTCATTCAGGCCCGCATGGTGCCATGCCTCCCCGTGACCTACATTCCTAAACCCTAAAACCCTAAACCACTACTCGTTATGGTTTAGGGTTTAGGGTTGTCCCCCGAATAATTTTGGGTTGAGGGGCCATGTAAGGACTTTAAGATCTCCTCTATGCCCTAAACCCCGAACCCCAAACCCTAAACCCAAAACCCCAAATCCTAAACCCAAAACTCCAAACCCGAAACCCCAAACCCTAAACCCTAAACCCTAAACCCTAAACCGAAACCTCGAGTAGAGGCAGAGTGACCCTGCAGCTCAACGGCGTGGAGCTGGGAAGCGTTGAGGGGCGCCGGTTCTCGGAGGCGCGGTGTTTAGGGTTCAGGGTTTAGGGTTTAGGGTTTGGGTTTTAGGGTTTAGGGTTTAGGGTTCAGGGTTTAGGGTTTAGGGTTGAGGGTCCCTAAACCTTCAGCCCCCAACCTTATTACTTCAAAAAACTCTGAGCCCTGGGGCCCTAGACTTGGAACTCAGAAAGCCTAAGGCCCCCCCCCCCCCCCCCCAAGTTTTGCGAGATTTGAGGTTTAGGGTTTAGGGTTTAGGGTTTAGGGTTTAGGGTTGGGCCCAGGCCCTGCCCCTTGATGCCTGAAAGCTGCAACCACCCCGTAGATGCTTCCCGGCCCGAGCCGATGGAACTTGAGCCCCGAGATTCCAGTGGGCAAGCCCAATGCTAAGGGTTTAAGGGTTTGAGGGTTTGAGGGTTTTGGGGTTTTAGGGTTTTAGGGTTTTAGGGTTTTAGGGTTTTAGGGTTTTAGGGTTTAGGGTTTAGGGTTTAGGGTTTAGACCTTTGAGTTTGAGCACGCTGCGAAGTAGAAGGGAGCACTCTTTCCACCTGTTTCCGGGGTCTTCATCGTCCTCAAGCCCCAACGCCCGAATCCCTAAAGCCCCGATACCCACCGGGAATCACAGACCATGACCCCCAGGGGGGAAGGGGCGAAACCCTAAGCCCAAAAGCCACCATGTAACACAGGGACGATGAATGCTGGTGCATAGAAACCCTCCCACTTCCTAGAAAGACGTGGGGGGTTTTAGGTTTTCCCGCGAACCCCCGACTGATGGCTCAATATGACTCAACTGAGGGATTAGGGGTTCAGGGTGGAGGGTTAAGGCTGGAGGGTTTAGGGTAGTGAGAGCAGGGTCTTGAGAGTCAACGCACTAGCACCCTAAACCCTAAACCCTAAACACTAAACCCTAAACCCCTTTCTAAAGCCACGAACCCCAAACTCATGCTCAACGCCTCGCTTTGCCAAGAGGCTCTGTTTTCCGTGTGGTTTGGCCAACATCCATTCCTGGATCATCTGAAGCAGGCATCCGGGATTCCCCCCTGGTTCGTAGTAGGGAATGAGGGGGGGGGGCCCTATAGATACCCTTTAAGGGATTATGTAGGGTACCTCATTCCCTCATGCCCTACTAAGAACCAGCCAGATTCAGCAAGCCTTAGCGGGTTTCCGAGGGTTTTGGGAAACTCTGACAGCCCTCGAAATAAGGAGTTCCTTAGCTCGCATGTTGGCATTTTTATTTGGGGGTTGACGAAAACAAGGGGCCCCGAATATAGACCCCCCAAATAATGGGATTCCCTTGTAATAAGCACCCCAATAAGGTACCCCTGATTTCGGAAACCCCCATTTGCAGTTTAGGGGTCTTCCCCAAAGGGTCATGGTACTTAGTAGCCCAGTTCTACCCGTACTTATAACCCAACTACAACCCTAATAGGGCGCTTAAGGGGCTGATTAGAAGTGGGTTATAAATGCACTTATAATTGGGCTATACTAAACCCTAAACCCTAAGCCCGAAACCCCCTGCCCTGGGGTTTTCAGTGCGTTGAACCTCCAAGTAGTGGAGTTGCTTGCTTGTTTTTTGTAGTGAAGGTGTAGTGCTTTTGCAGGCGTCGAAGTGGCCAAGGCTTTCATGTCCGAGATCTGTTCGAGGTTCCTTCAGATCAGGCTCCCTAAACCCTACACCCTAAACCCTAAACCCCAAACCCCAAACCCTAAACCCCAAACCCTAAACCCTAAACCCTGAACCCTAAACCCTGAACCTAAACCCCAAACCCCAAACCCCAAACCCTAAACCCTAAACCCTAAACCCTAAACCCCAAACCCCAAACCCTAAACCCTAAACCCTGAATCCCAAAAAAGCCCTGAGCCGATCTTGCGAGGAGCTTCTGCTGCGCCAGTGAGAAAGTCTGCCCCCAGGCAGCATGGGCAGACAACCGTCACTTCTTGAAGGTTCATGGATACTTACAAGCAGGGTTTAGGGTTTAGGGTTTTGGGTTTAGGGTCTAGGGTTTAGGGTTTAGAGTTTAGGGTTTAGGGTTAATTGCTAATCGTGTTCTCTCAGGGTCCCTGCAGAATGATAACGAATAACGCTACTCTAATCATGAAGGCCCCTCTCGTAGGCGCTCGGGCCATACCAGCTGGGGCCTGAATTTACATTGTTTGCCCTCTGCAGCATCCCCGACTCTACCGCAGCAAAATCAGTACATGTGCTTATAAGGTTTTTGGCGGTTCCTTGGAGGGGATTCTATTCTATTTGGGGTGGGGGGTACCCCTATTTTTGGGAATACCGATAAATCAAGTCTACTTTTAGATGCAAAGAAGTTCAACTGTTAACGCGAATGAGTATAGAACAACAACAGCAAATACATGATTACATGAAGAATTAACACAAGTGTATATGTATATGTATATATATATATACATATATATATAGATAAACATACCATCGTGGAGACCCAGCAAGGGCCTACAATTCAGATCAAGCTGAATCCTAGCACGTTCCGGCACTCAGGCCGTGATTGCGCTGACATGTGATGGCGCGTTCCCTCTCCATTCTGACAGGATAGCCTTTAGGGTTTAGGGTTTAGGGTTTAGGGTTTAGGGTTAGGTTTAGGGTTTGCCCAGAGACTGCATTGGAGTATGCCTTGAACTGTTGTAGGAATCCGAACTTTCTTTTCCGGACGTTTCTTTACTTAAGATATGTTTCAGTTGCTGGGTGGCAAGCCTGGGGTGTCGCGAACTTCCCGCAACTGCTGCCGAAGGCAGCAGGGGGGGGGGGGGGGGCTGCGAACCGGTTCCTCGTTGGCAGAAGCTTTAACACACATGGTCGGCTCCCTAATGTTGTTGTCCTGTTTCTTGGGATCTTGTTCTAGTGCCCGTTATATTATCTATGGTATCCAGAGGGGCCCATACTGTGGAGACGCCATCGCTGTGTAGTGTAAGCAATTTGATGATCCGACCCTCCGAGAATGGCAAACTGGCGCAAAGTAGTCAGACCAAAGTAGTCTTACGTGGAGCTAGGCTCTCAAAGAGTAGACCAGCTCCGAAAGTGGCTCGGGGCAGGGTGGTGTTGCCCGTCCCTCCTGAGAGCAGCATTTCAAGTCCATCTTCTTGAGGCGCTTGTGCAAGCAAGAACACACCCTGCCATGGCCAGGTTTTCGTGCCGAGTTTTCGGCTCTCGGCGCCCTGCACAGATTGCGCCGCGGCACCCAAAAAAATAGCCGCTTTGCTCCTGGGCAGCTGAGCTCTGTGACTTGGGGACTCAGAGTGCACCCTGGTTCGTGAGCCCCAAAAGCATCAAACCTTTAGCCCCCAACCCTAACCTCTAAACGCGCAAATCCACACCTTTAAAGCCCTACAACCCTGAACACTGGAAAACCCCTAGAAACTCTACAGCCCTAAACACCCTAAACCCTAGAAACCCGAGAAACCCTAAAGCCCTAAAGACCCTGAAGCCCGAATATAGGGGTCGGAATTGTTACTAGTAAGTTTCACCTATGGTCCCTTTATCATTATACTAGAATAACCCCCCAACACCCTATTCTAATCACTAAGGCTCCTACAGTAGACCCTAAACCCTAAACCCTAAACCCTAAGCCCTAAACCCTGAACCCTAAACCCTAAACACTAAACCCCAAACCCTAAACCCTAAGCCCCAAACCCTGTTGGAAAAGGCCCCACGGATGCCAGGTGTCTGACCGCCGTGCCCGAGCGGGCATGCGCATGATTCGAGAGGACCCCTAAACCCTAAACCCTAAACCCTAAACCCTTAACCCTAAACCCTAAACCCTAAACCCTAAACCCTAATTCTTATCCAGAGACTCCTTAGGGTGTAGGAAGGGGTTTAGGGCGTTGAGGGGTTTTCGGGGTTCAGGGTTCAGTTCTTGGGCCCAAACCACGTTAGGATCCCAACCACATCTTCGTAAAGCAATATTCCCTGATTTAGTGATTTTGAGGCCTCGGGTTCACGCGCCTCTCGCGGTTCGTTTGTAGCATTGCCATCGGTTCTCGGCAGCGTCCCGATCCTGAAGCCCGAAACACAGTTCCAACTCTCTAGCAAGTATCACCGTATAACTAGCTATGGGTTGAGTGTGTCTTTAGGGTTGAGGGTTTCGAGTTTAGAGTTTGGAGTTTAGGGATATATCTCATCAGTACAAGACCTTGCACGATATTGGTTCAGTAGAGTTGTGCTTCCTGCCAGGACCATCGCCCATTCTACCTTCTGGCGGTGCAGGTGCATGAACCCTAAGCCCGAAACCCTAGCCCTTGAGCCTTTAACCCTATTCCCTGAACCCTGAACCCGAAACCCTAAACCCACCTCCTCGTAACTGAGCTTGTACTACTTTTTGCTTAAGCGCCATCCCAAAAAGTTTTCCTTGGGTAATATGGGGATAATTATGTTTTGATTTGGGCGTTCTTAAGCAAATAGTAGTGTAAGTAGGTTAACTCCAGTTTCAACTTCTTAAATTCCGGTGAGGTGTTAGCCGCCCGCAAACCCCTAAGAAAGCTGCGAGCGAAATCCTACACCGAACGCCCATAGGGGATTCATGGTTTTGGCGTTGAAGGGGTTATATAAGGGCTAAATCCGAAACTGAACCCTAAATCCTACGTCCTCCCCAGAGGGCTTGTGGTTGTATGGCATGTGTCCTGCAAAGTTTCCACACAGCAGTGCAGAAGCGCCACGCGAGAGGCAACGACTTGAGCGAATGCATGCACTGCGGCCCTCAAGCCCGCAACGACCCCCTCCCCCCTCCCACTGCCCCCCCCCCCCCAGACCCCCAAAACCCTAAACCGCAAAAACCTTCAACCCTCAAGCCCTCAGACCCTCAAACCCTCAAACCCTCAAACCCAAATCCCCTACCACCCTCAAGCCCTCAACCCTGAAACCCCGAGCTCCCCAAAAGCCTCAGTTGGGCTTCGTTCTGGCTTCCCCTTGGGTCCTCCTAAACCCCAAAAGCCCCAAATCCGCAAAAACCTTCAACCCTAAAACCCTAAACCCTAAACCCTAAACCCTCAACCCCCAACCCTCAACCCTCAAACCTAAACCCTAAACCCTAAACCCTAAACCCTAAACCCTAAACCCTAAACCCTGAACCCTAAACCCTAAACCCCATCCTCCAAAGCCAGGAATGGACTGCACGCATGTGCCCCACAACTGGGGAGGAGAACACCGCCAGTGGCCATGCGAAAGCAGCGCCCGGAAGCCTACTATTATAGGGGTCGGAAGAAGTAGTACTAGTATTCCCTTATGGCGCCTATATAAGTATCATACTCCTATTCTATTTATTAAGGCCCCTATACTATAGGGGTCGGAAGAAGTGGTACAAGTATTCCTTTCTGGTTCCTATACAAATATACTACAATGGCTCTCCAACACCCTGTTCTAATTATTAAGGCCCCTGTACTATGCAGTTCAGGGGTTAAGGGTTCACCCCAAAAACCCTAGACCTTCAACCCTTTTGGGTTTGAGAGATCGAGGTTTCATCGGGATCTCGTGAGAGCCAGTCGTAACCTTATGTGGTCGGTTGTAGCCAGTTGCAACCTTAACCTCCCTAAACGAATACAAGTAACCCTAAGTAACCCTAAACCCTAAACTCTTTGTCCCTATCCGCCCTAAAACCCTAAACCCTAAAACCCTAAAACCCTAAAACCCTAAAACCCTGAAACCCTAACACCCTAAAACCCTAAAACCCTAAAATCGTAAAGCCCTGGAAAACCCGAAGCCATAAACCCTAAACTTTAAGTCCCTAACCCTGAACCTAAAACCCCAGAAAATCCTAAACTCGGAACCCGAAACCCTAAAACCCTAAAATCCTAAAGCTCTAGAAAATCCCTAAGCCCGAAAGGCTAAACCCTAAACCCTAAACCCTAAACCCTAAACCCTATGTGCTGCAGGCCCCTGGTGTGCCTCCCGGCCCGCCACCCGCTTCTCTTCACCTGGGCCGGGGGCTCCAGCCAAGGAGGGTTTAGGGTTTAGGGTTTAGGGTTTAGGGTTTAGGGAGGTTTAGGGGTTAGGGTTCAGGGTTGAGGGTTTAGGGTTTTAGGGTTTTAGGGTTTAGGGGTTTAAGGTTTAGGGTTTAGGGTTTTTCTAAGTAAGCCACATCCCAAGAGTTCCCGCCGCATCTGCAGGTCGAGGATCCGGTCGGCGAGGCCACCTGGCGTAGTCACTTTTTTTCTTTTGGGGGGGGGGGGGGGGGGGGGGGGGGGGGGGGGGGGGGGGGGGGGGGGCGGTTTCGGGTTCAGGCTTTGGGTGCAGGGTTCAGGGTTTCGGGTTTCGGGTTTAGGGGTTTAGGGTTTAGGGTTTAGGGTCTTGGGTTTAGGGTTTAGGGTTCAGGGTTTAGGGTTTAGGGTTCAGCGTCTGGTTGCTGCCTTGCCAGGTGGCCCAGTACGACGAGCAGGCCGGGCGCCCTTGACACCGTCCGGCACTGTCGTCCCCCGAAACCACCCGAACATAGGGGCCTTCAGAATTAGGATTTCGAGTTTCGGGGTCGGGTTTGGGGTCTGGGGTTTTGGGGTTTTGGGGTTTAGGGTTTAGGGTCTTAATATCCGGCCCTCAATAATTCGAATAGGGTCTTGGTGGGTTATTCTCGTATAAACATATAGGGACCAAAAAGACATTATGCACGAAGCATGCAACGCGCGTTGCACCCTGAAACCCTGCGGAGGGCATCGCAGAATTGCAGGGAGGTTAGGGTCCATTTTTTTTTTTCGGGGGGGGGGGGGGGCGATATAGCATGGGGTTTAGGGTTTAGGCTGGGTTTAGGGTTTTGGATTTAAGGTTAGGGTTTAGGGTTTAGGGTTTAGGGTTTAGGGTTTAGGGTTTAGGGTTTAGGGTTTAGGGTTTAGAGTTTAGGGTTTAGGGTTTAGGGTTTAGGGTTTAGGGTTTATGGTTTAGGGCTAC